CAATCAAGTTATCAACATGATTTTACTTTTACATTTACATTTCCTTTTTTGACATTCTGGAAAAGATAAAGCTATAGAGATGATAAATCAATGTTTGTCAGGGCTTTCGAAAGGGGGAGAGGGCCGAATAGGTGAAGCCTGGGTTTTTTTTTTTTTTTTAGGGTGGTGAAACTATTCTTCATGATATTGTCATGATGGATACATGACACAGGACATTTGTGAACTTTATAGTACCAAGAGAAACCTTAATATGTACAAATTTTTAAAAATTCAACTTGTGGGATCTTATAATGGAATGCAGAATATAACAAAAGAATCTATTTAAATGTACAAACATCGTCATTGAGGAGAGTGAGAGGAAACATTGCTGACCTAAGTACATTTATAATAGAGTGGAGCCAATACGACTAAAGACATAAGCACCGTACTCTATTTGATAAAGTTGTTTTCCAAGGGGTATGGGTAACAATTCTGAAACCATTATTCCTGTATACTGGAATCAAACAATATAATATAAGAAATGGATGAATATGAGAGAATAAAAGGAAGTGGGTGGCAAATGGGAACCAAGTTTCTCAGTACTGGAGTGGGAAATTATAGATAAGCTGGGTGAGGAGGCTAGAATGATACAGGTGGTAATAGATTACAGTTGGAGACATCAGTATGAACTAATGTTTAGCTTAATACAGATATAGATGGCTACATATGAGAATCTTTATAGATAGATATATTGGCATGGTTTAGCGTGCGTGCACGCACACGCATACACACACACACACACACACACATGCACACACACACACAATTTCTTGGCTCTGCTAGCTGAGAGGACCTAGAAACAATGATACCCCAGTAGCATCAAGCATACATCACACCTATTTTGTGCTAATCTTGGTTTCTAATACTATTATTGGATAAAAGGAACCAGGGTTCCTTGGAGAAATGACAATTTTAAGACTAAGGCAAGAAATATAAAAGATGAGCCTGTTGCATATTTTATTGCCAGAAGACAAGGAAGTGCTCAAACTAACACACCAAAACAATACAGGATGTCAAAGGGATACAGGAGCCAACTGAAAGAACTCTCAAAGGCCAAAGTTGAAACAATTTGAGCAGCATGTAAATCACAGTATTGGATTGTAAAGCAAAGTATAAAATAAATATCCACAAGTCTATATGATATAAATAAATGTGGGAGAATTGACAAATCTCTTATACAGAAGAATTTCAAATAATCTCTGTAGATTAGACCTCAAGAAGGTAGAATGTTCCCACTTGTTAAATATTGGCTGAGCTTAGTGACTTCCTTTCAGAGTTTGAGGTGGTAGTATAAATTGTGTAACCAATTTGAAAATGGTAGATAGTGCTTCACTGAAACCTTGTATATATGTGTTTGTATATTTCTGTATTTTTATAAGGTAAATATCCTAGGGAGATTATACCTTAAGAATCTTGAAAGATATGTTCAAATTATTCTTCAAAATGTTATTAATTTTCTCCAATCAATGTATAAGAGTACCAATGTCTACATGCTCTTGGTACAATATATGACTCACAATATGTATTTTTATTTAATATACAAAGTGCTTTTATCAATCAATAAGAAAAAACCTGCTTGGTGACATAGTGAGACCCAGTCTCCACAAAAAAATAAATAAATAAATAAAAAGCCAAGTGTGGGGATGCATGTCTGTAACCCCAGCTGCTTGAAAGGCTAAGGTGGGAGGACATTTGAGCCCAGGAATTTGAGGCTGGAAATAAAGTTGTCCTAGTAGAAAGACAGTTCTTCAGAAGGACCTGAGCAGGCAATTCAGAAGGCACAGAGTACAAATGGCCTGTACATATTTGGAACAAAAAATGTTAACTAAAGAAGAAAAGCAAAAAAAAAAAAAAAAAAAAAGGTAGAAGAAGCAAAAGCCTGAATAGTCATGAAACAAATGTGAAATAGAAACGGTGACATACTATTTTTTTCATTGAATTAGTTAAAAAGAAAAAAGTGATTGTAACTGGTATGCTGCCTGTGTATGGCAACATGGGTCTGCTTCAACTTGGTGATGGGTAAACAAATAGACCTTTGGGAGGCCACGTGTTTTTACATATACTTTTGAAAACAGGTACACACACTTCTATTCACTCCACTTTTACAGGAATTTATCTGAGGACCTTAATAAAAAGTATACAAACATATGTATAAAGATGTTAATCACAGCATTGATTATTACAAGAAAATTAGAAATAACCTATTCAACAGTAGAGGGTTATTTAAGAAAATGGTGATACTTCTCTATGATGAAATACTTGGAAGCTGCTAAAAACTATAGAAGAATCTTCACTTATAAAAATTATTGTGATATATGATTAATATATACTACTTTAATTTTAAAAGACAAACATGTTCTATATCTAGAAAAAAAAGATGACTGGGCGTGGTGGCTCACACCTGTAATCCCAGCACTTTGGGAGGCCAAGGCAAGCAGATCACCTGAAGTCAGGAGTTCGAGATCAGCCTGGCCAATATGGTGAAACCACATCTCTACTAAAAATACAAAAATTAGCCAAGTGTGGTGGCTCATGACTGTAGTCCCAGCTACTAAAGAGTCTGAGGCAGAAGAATTGCTTGAACCCAGGAGGCAGAGGTTGCAATAAACCAAGACTGTGCCACTGCACTCCAGCCTGGGTAACAGAGTGAGACTCTATCTTAAAAAAATTAAAAAAAAAAAAAAAAAAGGACTAGAAGGACACATACCACAGTGTTTATCATGTTGATTTGTATGTGAGACTGACATTTCTTTGTCTTTTGTTTTCTTTGTCTCTGTTTTCCTTACTTTCTGCATAAAACTTCTTAAGATTAAAACGTTAGTTTAATAGTTAGAAAAGAGAATAAAATGAAAAGTGTTTAAAACTATGCTGATTCTACCTTTGTAATGCCTTCCTTATCTACCTCTTCTTTCCATCTCTTTCAGCATCGCCTGGCTCAGACGTCCTCATCTTTCACTGAGACCATTGCATCAGTTTTCTAATGGGTGTCTCTGTCTACCAAAGGATCTTACCTATCACCCTGCTCAGAGGCCTCTGAAAGTCCCTGTGTAGAATAGTGTTTTAGCTCCTTCTTGCCTTGTTGCACCAGTCCTCCCCTCCCCACCACACACCCAATCTGGTCTTCTCCCTCCCTGCCTTCATCCTCACTCACTACCCCTACCCACAGCACTCCTGCGACACCGGTCCCATCAGCCTGCCCAGCCATCCCCGGTCCTGGAACATATGAACTTCAGTCTTCTCTTGTTTAAAGTCTACCCATCTTTTAAGGCCTGCCTTCTTCAAGAAGCCTTCCTCTATCATTACCTCTCTCATACTTTGGTCTACTGTTTGAACTCCTTCCATGGCCACGATTACCAGCTGCCTTCTAATACAGCGATTTCTTAAGGATTCTGCCTCCTCCTTTGGTCAGCTCAATTTCAGGAAGCTGTGGACTCCCAGTGCTCCATAGCTTGCACACAGAAGGGGCTTCATGGAACTCTGCTGAATCAAGTTGTTGATTCAGAGTTGCCTCTGCACAACATGTACTGCTGCTCCAGAGTCAAAGCTTCCATGTTCCATAATATGCCATAAATGTGTGATTCTTTGGCATGCAGGAATCTATTAAATTTATACATGTAAACTGTCACACTTGGGATAGTGTGGCATAAAAATGTACACATATTAAAACATAAGGTTTATGGGCATCCCATTTGGTATTTAGAAGAACTTTTTGCTATAACTGGCTAGTAAATATTTGAGTCTGAACTTAATTGTAGGCAATTCCTTGGAAAAAATGATTCGATGGAAACCCAGTCATGTCCTGGAGGCAACTGCAGATCATTACACTGAGAAAACATTTCTATAATACTCCTGCTTAATATAAAAGCATGTTTTTGATTCTTGGTTTCTCTTTCTTTGTTTTCTCTTTGAAAAGTGATGGTATTTCAATAATGAGAATACGTTTTATTGCAGCAGTAAGCTTGCTTTCTTAGCTCTGGAATATCCTTAATTGTATTTTTTCCTATAAAGTTTAGGGGTTTTTGATGCCTTGCCTTCCTTTTAATCCTCCCTGTGCCCCGTGCTTTGCCTGGCTTTCCACCTCTCTTTGCAGTGTTGTCATTGCACTCTTGGGCATCTGTGTTTCACATAGAACTGTTCTTACAGAAGTGAAACATAAACAGGAAGAGGTGGCCACTTCCCAGCATTTCTTGGCATGTGTCTCTTCCGTTTCATTGAGGTGCCACGTGAGTCAGCTCCACCCTGGTGGATGACTTTCCTCTTACACGATCAGACACGGGTTCAGAGTGTTGCTGTATGTGAGAGGTCAAGCATGAATGGGCTTCTGAACCAAAGCTACCAGCATTCCCTTTTTGGTGCATGCTGTCTCCAGGAAAACATGCCCCTGCATTGCTTTATGGAACTTTGAAGATACTTCCATATAATTTACATTATGAGATGAGCCTCTCTGAAAAAAATTAACTTTGTTAAAATTGTGCAAATATTGATGAATCTTCCTTGTCTTAGGGCTGGCTGGGGATATGGACCTCACAAATGGCCCTGCCAGTATATATGTTCATTTGGCTATTTGTCCATCTGTTCCTCCATCCACTCATCATCCCTGCTCTCCCCACAACTGGGATCCTTCTGAACAGTTATCTAGTCTGATTCATCTCAGGATTCCCAGCAGCTCTTCTTGAGACTCATGTCACGGAGGCCCAATACTCCCTGGGATGACAAGGAAAGTGCTGCTTTCTCTTGGCAATGCTGTGTGCACTGGAGAGATGGTGCTGAGAACATGGCCCATTTGCAGGGTTGGGTGCTGTAGAGGAACTCTAACTCATGTGACCCCAGGCTATGCTCTCCCAGTTTCCTGACCTCTTGGAAATCCCATAACAGCGGTGGGCAAGGGTGACATGGGTGGTCTAGCCATTAACAACTTTTCTGGTGTGTATGTGTGTATGTATGTGTATTTGACTCTACAGGTCAGTTTTTGGGTTGTACGAGAAATTCTAACAGCACAGACTTTAAAAATAAGGGCAGAAATCCTCAGCCATTTTGTGAAAATAGCCAAGGTAAGCTGTTTTATTATTATTTTCCCTTCCTTTCCCTCTTATCTCCTATACCTCCTCCCCCAAAATATCTTTCCTCAGTACTTTGGGAGCTGCTTTGCTGTGGGCTTGCTGGGCAGGGTTCAAACAGGGTGTAGTGGCTTGACTTCCCCAGGCAGAGCCAGCTGTTAGACCTGCCTGGTTGCTCACCAGCCCCCTAGCAGTCAGCCATTCTCCTTCCCTGGGCTTTCACAGTCTCTCTGCAAGGCAGGACCTGGAGGCTGCCCCTGGAATCCATTCATTCTCCTACTTTAGATTTAGCCAGTTCTGGGGGTTAATGGATTTTAGTTAGCATCAGTGCTCAATGCTTACGATACCATCACATCCTGCACAATATTGTCAGCAATGAGCAGACCCTACACCCCTCCCACTGAGCTTCAGGTGTGGGCCAGATGACCTTGCAGCCTCCCATCCCAGCCTCCTGCCCCTTGGACTGATAGATTCTGTCCTTGTTGGGCATCACCTTTTGCCTCCTCTTCCCTTATCTCTAGGAATGCTGTGCCATCCCATGGGCCTTCCTGAACCACTCTCATGCCCAGCAGCTCCTCCCCATATACTGCTTTCAACCACCCAGGCTTGCCTGACTCTTGGCTGCAGCATCGTGCTGGCTGCTTCACTGCTTGTTGTCTATGTGCGTGTGTCGTCTTCCCCACCAGGTCCTAGGAAAGCTGTGCTTTACAGAGGCCCCTTATGAGCCAGGCACCATGCTATGGTCAGCTGCTTTACTGACCTGATTATATTCAGTGCTCACACTATTATTATTATTCCATTTGCAGAGGAAGGAGAGGCTTAGAAAGGTGGAGTGTCCATGCTCAGGGCCCCATGGCCAATCAGTGGCGGGGCAGGAATTGGAGTTATGCATCTCTGCCTTCAGGGAAGCTGCTCTGCTGCCCTTCATGGGCAGGTTAAGTGCATCATCTATTTATGTTAATTAAGAGCAGTGGCCACATTTACTTCCTGTGCATTCTCCTGAAGTACTTGAACTGGTGCTGGTCTTAGTGATATTTGTTGCCATCAGTCAGTTCTGTGCTGGGCCACAAGAGAAAGTAGGATGTGGTTCCCACTCTCCTGGGCTGTCAGTTTGGAAATGTGTTTATGGTCCCCAACCATGGAATCCAAAATGATCCCTCCTTAATCTCTGCCATTTTCTGTATGGCAGACTGTCATGCTGGCTCTGTGCCCTGGATCTTTCCTTGTGCAAGCACCTTCCTTTCTTTGGGCCTTGGTTTTCCCATTTATAAAGTAAAAGGGGTGGGTTAATTTCCAGAGACCTTTCAACTCTAAAAAGAAATTCTGTGACAGGCATAGCAATGCAGATATATAGAATGAAATTCAATTCACTTAGAGAATCTATTCTTACAGGAAACAACTAGAGAATGTTGCAAGATGTATGAAATGAAGTGTTTAGCTCATGTGGTGAGAGAAATTTCCAAGCAGGAACAGAGCTGTGAGGACTAGGTATAAGGGCTTTTCCTTTGTTTATGCATTTCACGAGGCCCTACAATGTGCTGGGCACTGTACTGGATACCAGAGACATAATAGTAGGTAAAACTTTGTCCCCGTTCTCAGGAAACACACAGTCCAGGGTGAGAGAGAGGCAGGTACAAAGCAAGTATAATCCAGTGTGCTGCAGATATGCATGGACTTCTGTGGGGACACAGTCAGGAGAGGCATATAAGATGAAGGGGCATCTAAGCTTGGAAATACTTAAGACAATTGATGGGGGTGGGAAAAGATAAGACTGTACCCACATCATACTGAGCTCCTGCCCTGGGACCAGCCACTGGTCTAGGCAGTTGACATGCACTGTCTCATGTAGCAGAGGGGCTGAGATTGCCTTCTGCACTAAGTATGAGGATACCAAGGCTCAGAAGGATTAGGGAACTTGCCAGAGGACACACAAGTAGTGGGAGCTGGGATTGGAACCAGGGATTTTGGTTCCACAGAGCCTGCTTAATAACCCAAACTTCAATGACTCCCAAGAATGAGAAATGGCGCCCCATCCTGTTAGCAAGCTTCCCTTAGCAGAAAACCAGGAACAGAGCAGTTGCATTTTTCTGCACTTACACTTGACTATGTCTCATTCTGTTTCCCTCTATGGTAAGGAACTTGTCTGAAAATGAATTGAATCCAAATGTTCTCACCAATTTGGGGACTGGTTCAAAGGAACGTGGTCAAATGATGGGGAAGCCCCAGCATTGCCTTCCCAGCTGAGAGGGATTATGCAGATTGGTACCATCTTTCCTCAGCGTCTTTCTCCTTCTGGTGTTAGGATAATCATAAAAGACCCACGTTGATGCTGTTGGCACAGTCGGGGTTTTAGTTTACAGAAGCCTGCTGGGATAGTATTCAGATTTGTTTTAAAAAAGAACATAATGCACACTATCAAACCTTATCCTGTGCGACGTTTTTGTCCAGACTAGTTAACTTATGAAATTTTGCAAATATTTTAGATGCAGACTCACCTTTTGACAATTTAAGAGAAAAAAAACATATGGTTTCTATGAACTTCCTAGAACTATGTTTTCTACATGAGATATTTTTAAGTGTAATTGAATTTCATAAATATGACATTTGGTAACACTTGAGCATGTTTTTGTTCTGTTGTTTATAGCAGCAAAATAATCTGTTCCATATCTTTTTTTTTTTTTTTTTCCAGAAACTTCTAGAACTCAACAACCTTCATTCTCTCATGTCTGTGGTGTCAGCATTACAAAGTGCTCCCATCTTCAGGCTGACAAAAACCTGGGCTGTAAGTTGATCTCCCTAAGTCTATGTGATTTTGGCTGTCATTTCATTGGTGAAGTTTTTCATTGCTTAAGTCCCAGCCTTTCTCTTACTGTCTATACTTTGCCAACGACAGAGTTACCATGAGTTAATGACACTTCTGTAGGCATCCTCACTCCTTCAGTGACCCCAGCCTCATTTTGGCACCAGGGAATGGTGAAGGTGCTGACATGGCTTGGGTCAGAAACCCCCAGAGTGGATCTTCCTGGACACCCCCACGTCATGTGTGATGACTGGGTCAGCGACATGACTTCTGCCCTGCACTTGGCTGGAATTTTTCTCTGGCATGCTCCATACTGCCCTTGGGAAGGTCTCTGGGCTGATGGTTCACAGCTGCCCTGGGTTACTAGCCATACCGCTAAGTTTCTCTGGAGAAACCTGTGACCCCCATGTGGGAAAAAAAATGATTTTTTTTCTTGAGGCCCTGGATAATTTCAGCTGAGAGGTGGAGTCTGATAGTTACATAATTGAGTCTGTAGGAAAGTTTTTCTGCTGTAAAAATACTTTTAAAATCTCTCAGACCTCTTTATCCTCCTTCACTTGGCATAGTGCCTGACATGGGGGAAGTAATTGCTATTTCCATAGCTCATTAGCATTCACCTCCTGGCCCACCTGATCTGGGGTCTCTCACAGCTACACAGCGCAAGCCTTTCAAGACCTGTTTATACCTCATGGAACTGACAGAAACTGTATGGAATTGTCAGATGTGCTTCTGCAACTCATTTCCGAACTTCTTTCTGCCAATCTGTGGTGCTGGGCTGTTTCCCACTTGGCTGGTTCAAGGGCCTTTAAAATACTCAGGGATTATATTGTAGGTGATCAAAAATGAGCCTTGGTTCTTTAAATTGCAGTTTTCCACAGATCTAGTCCTAGCAAAGTAGAGTGAGAAGTTTAGTCCGGTGTCAGAAAACTGGGTTTGCATTCAGTGCCATTCAGAGCATGACTTCTATGGGACTCATTTTCTTGTACCAACCTGGGGAGGTTGGCCTAGATTCTTGGTTTTCTATCAGTGCTTTGTGGAGTCCCAGGGGTTCCTTAGAATTGTCTTGGGTGCCACCAGGGACTGAGAGACTGGAGAGATGCTGCCAAGTAGGCAGTTTGGGCACCATTTCCACCATAGCAGCTCTGTTTATGTCAGTTTTATGTACTGGACTTCTGGGTGAATTTCAACTGAACAATGACTTTGGAAGTCAAAAGAAAGTTTGGAAGCCACTGTTCTTAGCAATTGCTGCCAGTCCTGTCCATCCAAGTCCATCTGACCAGTGAGGCTTTTTTCAGAAGATGCTTGGATTCTTTTTAAAATGAATTTTCCATCACTTAGATGCTGTTGTTGTTTCTTGGACTGCTGGGAGCTATGTGAGGACAAAGTGGGATGATGTTTGAATCTTCTCATGATGCCTAGACTTTACTGTCAGTAGTATTGTAACTCTTAACAATCTCTATAAGCTGTACAGTTGGTGGAGGCAGAGATAGTTAGCACAGAGGCCTGGGGTGTCTAAGGGTCTTGTGCAGAGATATGATCCACTCAGTGATAGGGCCAGGCCCATGGATGAAGTGTTGGTGTCCTCCAGGGGATGCTGTGTACTGCCAGGACAGTGGGCAGCAGCAGGTCACAGCACTACCCAGGACTATTCTGTTTGGCTTGACAAGCGCTGCTCAAGGTAACTGGGTCTTCACTCCTGTTGATGGTTCTTTGCTGTAATGAAAATAAACCTCCAGGCCAGGTGCAGTGACTCACTCCTATAATCCCAGTACTTTGGGAAGCTGGGGTAGGATAATCCCTTAAGGCCAGGAGTTTAAGGCCAGCCTAGACAACATAGTAAGATCTCATTTCTGCAAAAATTTACAAAATTAGCTTGGCATGTTAGTGTGCACCTGTGTTGCAGCTATGCAGGAGACTGAGACAGGAAGATCCCTTGAGCCCAGGAATTCGAGGCAGCCGAGTGAGCTATGATTACGCCGCTGCCCTCCATCTTGGGTGACAGAGTGAGACCCCATCTCTAAAAAGGAGAGAGAGATTGAGAGAGAGATAGGAAAGAAACCTCCTTGGGGAGCCTGGAATGGAATTTGCACCCAGGACCCATTCAAAGATATGGGCATATTCACCTAGCTCCCTTCCAGGCCATCTGGGTCAAGTGTTCTTCCTCACACATATGCCAAGATAAAAACATGTGGCAGGCACTGCCCTAAATGCTTTTTCTATCTTTTTTCTATCTGTCTGTCCATCCATCATCCATCCATCCATCTGTCCATCTATTTGCGAGACAGGGTCTCACTGTCACCCAGCTGGAGTGCAGTGGCCTGTACAAAGCTCACTGTAGCCGCGGCCTCTTGCGCTTGAGCGATCCTCCTACCTCAGCCTCCTGAGTAGCTGGGTCTATGGGCCACACCACCACACCCAACTAGTTTTTAAGTTTTTTGTAGAGACGACACCTTGCTATGTTGCCCAGGCTGGTTTCAAACTTCTGGGTTCAAGTGATCCTCCTGCCTCAGCCTCCCAAACTGTTAGAATTACAGGTGTCAGCTATTATACCTGGCCCCTAAACACTTTACCTATAGTAGCCATTTTGTCCTAACAGCTACCCATTGAGAGAGGCACTGTTACTATTGCCATTTATGGGTGAGGAAACAGAGACACAGAAAGGTAGAATAGTTTATTCAGGGTCCCACAGCTGAGGAGCAGGGCTAGGATCAAACAGCAGCCTGGCTCCAGAATCTACACTCTTAACCACCATACCCCACTGAACAAAAAGGACAATTTCAGCTTACGTTCATTACTAAAAACAAGAGAGGGGTCTTATTTTTTTATTTTTTGTTTTGTTGTTTCCTTTTGTACCAAAAATATTGCATTAGGAACTTGGAAGATAAGATTGGTAGACGTCTGGTGCCTCCCGGGCTTTTGGGCCTCTGTCTTGGCTGTGGCTACTGCTAGCTTGGCACCTGGTTGCTGGAGTATAGCAGAAACGGCAGTCAGAAGAGGGCCCGCCCGTCAGGGAGGGGATGTGCAGCCAGTGAGCCAGAGAGCTGCAGCTGGACTTTGAAGGCTGCTCTGCGAATGCCTTCTGGCCACTCATTCCTCAGTTTGTCCATACCATGGCTTCTGTTGCTCCTCCACTTCCCTGGGTTTGCTCCTGTTTCTGCTGCCTAAGTGGACATTTAGCTGGTAGGGAAGAGGAAGATGCCAGGGAACCAAGATTGCATGTCACCAAAGAGTTGGGGACTCAGGACAGTATCATGTCCCTGTTCCTGTTCTGAGAAACCCCCCTATTGTGTCCTAAGGGCTGAGAGCCTGGGCTGTTTCCTGGTTACAGAGAGCCACTTCCTAGGGCAAAGGGTGGGTAGATGCAGCATCCTAGGAAATGAGAATGGCAGCTGCCACATAGTTGTGTCAGGGAGAGAGGAGGTGACAGACCTGTGTGGATTGCAACACGAGGTCTCCAAGGTCACTTGTGGGGTATTTGCTTGTTCTTGGTGAAACCACTATTCAGCCTTTGTTTTAGATCAGACTCTCCCCTCACTCAAATATCTTGTTAATCCAAGGACTGCAGTTGGCATAGAGCATTTAGGAAATGGAGGGAGCCAAACTCACCATCTTTTTCTTTCATCCAAATCAACCCCAGCCCCAGAGGAATGGCTGACTCCACTGCCTGTATTCCTGATGCACCTGTCTGGTAACAGCACACACAGTGTAGCCGGCACCGACTCTGCAGTTTTGTTTATAGGTCTGCCTCCCTCTTGTGACTGCATTCCTCAGTGATGCTTTAGACTTTTCTATGTATCCTTGGTGCCCAGCCAGTATACATTTGTTGTTTGAATTATATGTGTTGTCCTGAGTTGCATTGCATCCTTCTTTTGCTATTAGTTTCTGGTATGGGATTGCCGTAGAAATGTTGCTCAAAGAGATCTGTTTCTTCTCTGCTCACTTGTCCTTTGAGTTGGGACTGGCGAGACCTCATGTGCCACAGAGTAGGGAGGTGCAGGAGGCCCTGGAGGAACCAATCATAACATCCCCAAAGCTCAGTGCTGTGATAGTTTTTGTTTTGCAGAGGAAGAAACTGAGGTTTGAAGAGGTAGTGTGACTTGTCCAAGATCCAGAGCTAGTGAGTAACAGAACCAGTGTGACACAGCCTTGTCCTGCTGGAGTCCACAGGATTCATCTTCTTGGCTGAAATGCTGGATGGCTTGCTAATGGCCAGAACCTGTAAGAGAATTAGGCTGGGCACAGGGCAGGGACAGTAGACACATACACTACTTGGGAAATGGGCTGGAGAAATGCAGCTAGCACACAGGCCCCGGGGACAGGGCAGGCCAGCTCTCTGTGCCATCCCTGTGGGTTGCAATGAAAGCCTGAATATCTGGGAAACTTGGTGGAAGGGAGTTACAGGTGTGGGAGGATACCTGCCACTTGGCTGCATCATAGATGACCTCTAGAAAATTGGTTATTAAGCTGGGGCAGGGCATCCTGTTGGCCTCTCCAGGGTAGCTGCCAAGTGCTAGCTGCTGGATGAGCTAGACAGGGCAGACTGACACTGAACACAGGCCTGTACACAGTAGGTCCTTAATAAGTACTATCTGCATACACAAACAGGAAGGTTATCATGGCTGGCCGGGAAAAGTGCAGACAGGGAATGTTTTATCCCAGCACTGGGACCACTTTGGAATATTGGCTCCCTTAAAGCCATGAAACCTAAGCAAGAAGTTGTAGCAGCCAATTCTGATTTCTTGAGTACATATCACCATGCAGCTCTTACTCATTCCGCAAATCAAACATTTCTCAAATGTCAGGCCCTGAAGCCATAGTCAAGGTCCCTGTCCTTAGAGGCTTTCGTGTTATTCAGGGACGTAAATATGTTATTCAGAGAGAATAAACATGTGCCTCATCTGGCTGGCACAAGAAGTGAACAGTAAATGTTTACTGAATACATGAAGTAATGAGCAAGGAGCTGTCAAACTGGAATAGAAGTG